AATACTTCTAAAAATTTCTAAAGATTCTCTTTATTTTTAACATATATGCCCTTCCATATGTAGGGAAGAAAGTTAGATACTTGCTTTGAGACAGTAAGAAGCTATTGAGATGGGAATTATTTTATTCCAAAAGTATTGCCCTACCTGGGAGACCATGCTAATATGTAATCTAAGAATTTCATGTGAGATATGGCATGTCTACTAGTTACTGTTAGTGAAAATTACTAACAGTAATTAGGTGGAAGATAAGATATAGAAATTGTGGAAGAATGTTGTAAGTAAATTGCACCTCATCTTCACTTTAGCTAAGGCATTAACAGCAATGAGTAAGTAGAGGTGTCTCAGAAGATCATAGAGATTATTACACCAGGAGACCTTCCCATTTCTTTTGTGATGGACTGAAGAATCCTGAGGACAGTGTTTTTTGTGTAACTGAGTCTTTGAATATCAGCTTCTATAACAATTAAAATGACAATACAAATGTCTATCTTGAAGAAGTTTCCATAAATTCTTAAAAACATGAAAAACAAAAAATTCTTGGCTCAGAGAAAGGGAAGAAAGATATTTATATTTGTATTAGTCCTCCTTAAACATGAGGAATATAGGATTAAAAAAAGTAAACTACTGACTCCAATCACACAATAATTAGTCACAGAACTGAGCCTAAAGTCTTTCTGTATTTTATTTTTCTCTGTTGCATATTATCTTTTCTTTTCTCTTAAAAATTATATACAGGACCCTCCCTGGTGGTGCACTGGGTTAAAGCACAACACAAAGAAGCTAAAGCCACTTCACCATGAGTTCAATTCCCAACCGGGAGGTGATCCATGTGGCCCGGCAGACCTCTCCTGACCCGTCTGCTGCTTCCCTCAGCATTGTACTTTGTCACTGGGCCTGTTCTGTCTCTGGTGAATCCTCTCTCACCATTACTGCACCTCTGGCCTGTACCCCAGTTCTGTATGCATAAATAAATAAATCTTTTAAAAAATTAGATTTATTACTCAGCATGCTAAATGTTTTCAAATATTAGTGTTATTTTTCATTAGAGACCACAAATAATCTGTTCCATAGCTTCCTCATGGCATTTTTCACATCCCTGTTCCTGAAGGTGTAAATCAAAGGATTGAGAAAGGGAGTTAGGATGGTGTAAAAAATGGCCACCATCTTGTCAAAAGAGAAAGCAGCTGGAGGCCGAGCATACTCAAAAATGCAGGGGACAAAAAAAAGAATCACAACTGCAATGTGAGACCCACAGGTGGA